TGAGGATCGAACCTACAGCGGTAAGGGACCTGTGACCTCAAGTCAGCGACTTTAACCACTCGGCCACGGAGGCCCCCCTGATCAGTACCATCCCAAGTTGTGGACATCACCGTCACATTCCGCTTCGCTGCACAAAATGGCCGCCAGAGCTAAAAGCAGAAATATCTTGCCCGGCCTTCACTGGTTAAACTACTGGTTGAATATCAACCAAACTTTACAGGAGAGAGCAGAAATATCCCTAGTTGTGCACACACATCACCAGCACATTTCGCTTCACTGCACAAAATGGTCGTTGGAGCTATAAATAAAAAAATATTGTCCGGCTTTCACAGGTCAAGTTACTGATGGGATTTCAATGAAACTTCACAATGAGTGACCATGCATAGCTTTGGGAGACATATGTTTTTGTGACAAAACCCCATTTAGTTATGAAACTGTTTTAAAGCATTGGATTCATATTGAACATGCTCATAATTAAATTGCTCAGATTTATTTTTACTTGATTTACGAAAACTCAAAAGAAACAAAAGAATATTTAAAACAAAAAATAAAATCTAAACTGTCTTGTAATTTCATTATCTGCCCATGAATAAAATCTCTTGCTAATTTTTAGGTAAATTCAAGTTCAAGCAACTTGCAATCAAACCTAAGCTGATCCTTATTCAATGATATAATATGTAGCTGACCTCCTATTGGGTCATTGTGCAAGTGCTACGGAATGGTATAAAAATTTTGGGTTTTTTTACCAACAGCTATGTAATTTTCCCTAAAAAGAAAACACTTCATAATAATAATTTCAGAGAATCTAGACTCTGTAATTTGTATTTTGATAAGAATAAAATGTTAAAAGTAACCAAAGACTACTTAAGTAGTTTATGTTCAGAGTCAAAAAGTGACCAGTTCTTAAAAAAATGTGGATACTAGGCTCGTAAATTGCTGAAAAAAATGTTAGAAATAATGTTATTTCAACAGTGTACATTCAGGTTGCTTTTATACTAACTTAAGCAAGTAATGTTTAAAGTGTTATCAACTAATACTAATCAGTATAAACAAGAAACTTTAGTCAATTATCTATATTTTAAACACCTATTGATCTAGTACTGAATTGTGTTTCAAGTTAAAAGAATTAATTTGTTCATTGTTATTGTGATTCTAGGAGTAAATAAAACAAAATAAATAAAAAAAGCTGAAGAAATGACCAATCTCATGAATTAAGCTAAATGCGGCATGATTCACTAGTTCTTATGTACAGTCGTTTTATGACAGTTGGTGGAAACCCAAACAGAATTATTTAAACAATTTTATAATTTGTTAAGAGATTTCTATTGTTTTTGAAATACAAAAAAAAACAACAAACAAGTGATGATTATAAATCAACTTTATACTGTAATACAATGTATCAGAAAATACATATGATTATGTAAGGGCTTAATCAGGCATTTCCAACTGCTTTAAAATATAAAAGGAAGAAAATTAATAAGAAATTTAGAGCGTTGCTCCTGGAATGCTGCCCCAAAATTCGCAGTAAGTCAGTAAGGGTTAGTATCTCAATCTTACAAATTGGGAATCTCATATCAAAATTATCAAATAGAAAGAGCTGGCAAAAGTCTAAACTTGAATCTCATATAAATCACAAATTACTAATCTTAATTAATGTCAAACACTTAAAAGTTTGATTACAGAAAAAACCCAAGATATTTTTGTTCAATATCATTTGTTTTTCTTGTTTATTTCACAAGACCTTGGCAAAATAATCACAATTTTAAAAAGAGCCAGATTCCCTTTTCTATGGGAAAAAAATATATGGTGCTTAAATTACTAAATGAAAAAAAACTCACATTGCGAAACGATACAAAGGGTGATGCCAAAAATAAATTTTTTAAAAAAAATTGACCGGAAAGAAACCCCTTTACTCCCGACACTAAACCCCATATATATTAAAACCGAACCTTTGGGTTTAAATAAGCCCCAAGGTTTTCACTAAAATATTTTTAAAACAATAAGGAATTCACCCCCCCTTTTTCAGCATTAACATCCACAGAAGCTAAAGGGGCTTCCCATGTGCTTCCCGGGTTTTTTAATTTCTGTAGGGGGTTGATGCCCACAAAATTATTAGTCATTCTGTTTTGGGGGATTTTACGTATGTTTTTTCCCATAAAAGAAATTTGTTTTGGGGGGATTTTTTAAATTTTTTAAGGGGTGTTATTTTTGAAACAAGGTGGGGTTAACTGGGGGGATCATTATTAAAAATCAGCGGTTTTGCCATTGGTATCATAATCATGCACATTAACAAGGCTATTGGTTAGGACATCATAAAAGTGTTAGATGTTCTCGGCTGCTTTAGCTAAAACAAGAACCTAAGATTATGAAGAATTCTCTATATTAAAAGGGACTAATTTCTGTCAAAATCCATTTGAGTTATTGACCTTTAACTGTGACCCCTCTATTTATGCTTAAAAAAGTAAGTTATTAGGGTTAAATCGTATTTCCATATTTGGAATTTTTTTTACCAAAAACCAGGCTTTGCATGAAAAACTTTTATATAGCTGACGCCTTAGTGTACCCAATAATCACTTGCTCTCGATTCTTTTGAAAATGTCTGGCATGGTTTTTATCCATAAATGCAAAGTTTTTTTTCTCTGTAAATGTACATCTGTATATGGCAGTTTTAGCGGAATTTTCCCCCCTTTTTTTATTTTAACATGTTTTTAAAAAATGTTTATATACAAATTAAACCCGTATTTTAAAATAATTTGTCAAAATTATATTTTTGGCAGCCCCTATTGGATTTTGGGAAAACAAAATTGAATTTTTTTTACCAATTTCTACTTAAACCTTTTTTTTAAGAAAAATTTCTTTTTTTGACCAAATTTTAAAGTTTAATTAAATCATTTTTCTAGTCATAATTAACTTCATTTTACATGCCCTGTGGGAAAATTTTACCCTTTTTTGGGGGGCCCCTTTTATTTTAAATTTGGATTTTTTAAAAATGGAAACCCAGGCCTTTAAATAAATTAAATAACCCTTCCTTTTACACCATAAGTTTATTTCTTTTCACGAAGGTGCACAATTTTTTTTACAAATTTTTGGGGCCATTTTTCCATCCAATCAAAAAAAGCCAGGTTTAAAAAGAAAAACACAGAAATTTTTTAAAAAAAAAAGGGGCACCCAAAACTCATCAACGGTTCGACTTTTATCACTGGGTTGTTAAAAACTGGAAAAATTTTTAAAAATTTTTTTTTAAAGTTGGTTGAATTTGTTCTTTGGAAATCTTCATTAATGCTCGTTTAAAAATGTTTTTTTTTTAAATCTCAAATTTCAGTGTGAGGAAACCTCATAACAGTTTTGGGACACACGGGGAGAAACGGGTTTTTTAAAGAACGGTTAAAACACATAAAAAGAACCTAATTTGTCGGTTTTTGATCCCAAAATTATCCACATTTAAATTTTCCCTTTCTATTTTTCCCAAATTTGAACCCCGCACCTGCTATTAAATGTTTTGGGAAGGGAAATTTATGAAATTGTTGTACCGATTTTTAAAAAATATATATTTAACAGTTTCCACAAATATATTAAAAAGTTTCCCCAATAAGAAAAAATAATTATTAGCTTGTCTTTAACAAAAGCTAAAAATTAGATTTTTTTGCAGTCATGGCGGCGTCCACGTTGACGTCCGCAAACTTTGACCTTGACCATAACTTTTCAAGTTCTTGGTGTATTGTCTTCATACTTGGTCACAACAGTCAACAAACCTTGGGACAAAACCTTCAAGTAGAATAGACTAAACTTTACCTTCATTCATAAATAACATTGACCTTAAAGGTCAAATGTCTAAATTTTGTTTGATTTTTGTTATAAGTTGCCATAAGTTTGTTATTTTTAAAAGGATTGTCTTCAAACTTGAACACATCCATCTTCTAGGATAAAACTTCAAATTAACCAGCCAGACATTGACCTTCACTTGTAAATGACATTGACCTTGAATGTCAAATTATTTAATTTTTCATTTTGCTGTAACTGGCTATAACTTTGTTATTATGAATTGATTGATTTCATATCAAGACACAACAATCTTAAGGATAAGACCTTCGTGTATATCAAACTCAAATTGACATTGATCTTGAAGTTTACATTATTGAATTTTAACTGATTCTTTGCAATAATTGACTGTAACATGATAATTAATGAATGGATTATCTTCATACTTTGACAAAATAACCATTTTGACAAGACCTTCTAAAAATTTGAACTGACCTTGACCTTTACATGATTTTACGTCAAGGTCAAATTATTCATTTTAGGTAAAATTGGCATAAGTGTGTTATTTATGTACTAATTTGATTTATACATGGACAAAACAAGATTGTTACCAAAAAAACATAATAAATAAATAAGTTAGATGTGACCTTGACCGTAATTTGACCTTGACCGTCAGGGTCAAATTAATGAATTTCTCGTGTTATTTGCTATAAATGGATTAACTTGATATTGAGACCCAATATCTTTTAGGTCAGGACCTCGGTGTATATCAAACTCAAAATTACCTTGACTCATCCCTGACATTGTCATTGAAGGTCAAATTATCTTTAAAAAAGTACTGTGAATCTGTGAAGACAGTTCACTTCACTTTAAGAAAATACTTACATCAAATAGCAGAGAAAGTTAAAAAATAATATATTATGCGTGGTAAATCATTTGGCAATTTCTACATGGTACCGAGGCCCAACATGTTCTTCATGCCCATTTGGTAATAGATATTAAGACCAGATGTATTAAATAAAAAAAAATGTTAGAGTTGAAAAAACGAGACACCTATTTTCCACTTTGAAAGTCCGATATCTTGGAAGTGTCTACATATTTAATTGACGGCCGTACAGCTTACAACACAGTGTTTATGATAAGTACGAAAATGTTACGTAATTAATGACTTAATAATAATGTAATAACAAAATAAAAAAAAAACAACAATAAATAAAAACATCAACAAAAAACCTACTAACCTTTACAAAAGGTCGCTATGACCATTTCCTTTGTTACACTTTTAATGCAATACCATCCAATCGAAAAGACAGATAAACTGAAAAAAATCACAGAAAAGTTGATTAACTCCACAATTAAAGGCATATTAAAATTCCATCAGTAATCATGGCTAAAGTTGAGATTTTTTTCCCCTTCACGCTTTATTTTTTTAAAAACTATATTATTAACTATGTTTATTACAGCGTTTCTGTAGTCATTAAATTCGCTATGAAAAAGAAGTGGCAACTGTCGATCCAACGGTTCGATAATCAAAAACAACTTTTATGGCCTAATAATAATGTAAACCGAACTCTTATATATTACATGCCTTTTTTAGTATGACACATTCGAAGTATTTACAAATGTACAACGTTTTTTTACCCGAGTGCCATTTACGTTATATTAAAAAAAACTTTAAGAAATCCTATCCTGTAAAAATCCAAACAAACGCATAATACATTCACGCCGATTTCGTTAAACATACCATGTAAATTATTGAGTGAAAAATAACCTATATCGTCCATCGATAGGGTACAGATGGAAAATGGATGTCAGAAACACAATAGATTTCATGAATAATTTAATACTTGAACTCCAACCTATTCTGAGATTTCATCTTTATTTGCCTTAAGCCACCCGATAGTTGCAACAATTCTCATAAGAGTAATGTAATAACGCAGAGTAAACAATTTTTATCAGGCAGTAATAACGCGGAGGAAATATAGCTATTACCTGATTGTAGTTGAAAAATGGAAGAAATATCTCTCATTTGAATCATTTTCATTTTTAGACAACGTAGAGTAAATTTCTATCACACGTAACGCCGAGGAGATTTTGTTATTGCTAGAGGGTATGTAACGCGGACTATATACATGTACTTTTTCTAGATTGTACGTAACGAATTATATAGAAATTATTACTAGTATAAAACAAAAAATATGTATTGCCGAAGAATATTAACAACAGATAACATGTAACACGGAGGAAATGTCGGAAGCATCTTTTATGAATACATCAAGTCATGTTTGTCAATAACACATGTATTTTCGAACGTGAATTGATGGACGCCCCCTTCGAAATTATTTATGTTACTATTGCTCAAACAATTCAGCTCCACTTTGGGAAAACATCGCCGATGTAGTCAATGGGTATTTTTCCGTGACAGTAATTCTTGATCTTCGACATATAGCCTATTGGTCATTGCTCTTATTCCGCCGATTCAGATTTGAATCATGTGGAATTAGTACTTAGTCGGTCACTTTTCGATTAAATCGGTAATTTACCGAGTTACTTATCTAAGAGAGACATACATGCAGTTAGGTGGACATGACCAAAATCGCGTGAAATCGACGCAAAAACCAGACTCACAATCAAACATACAAAATACCTCAACGCTTTGGTAGAACATACAGTAAGAAAAAATTCTACGATGCTATGCTTTATTTCTCCATGGCAGAGAGGTTATACCTTTTGATATTGCACACACACATGGGAAATCAACTGAGCTAAAACTAATTATGAAATGAACTGAACAATTAATTCGAACTTGCCGTAATCGATTTATGAAGTAATATCGCTATGTCTATAAAGAAAGCTTGCAATTTTAAAGAAATTTGACGGGTTATTTGAACGTTTATGACGTCGCCTTCCATCGGATAATCGTGACGTTTAAGATACTGCGATTGTAAAGTCACTTTTCATTCGAAAATCGTGATAGTGCAGATCTGTGACACATCTCAATTAAATTGCTAAATTGTATTATAATTATATGGTAGGATATTCGGGTGGTGTGGGGATCAATGTGGTTTTTTTATTTCACTGTAATGTTATAAAAATATTCACTGGATGGTTCGGTTTTTCATCGTGTGTATACAGCGTGTATATAGGCAATCAATATAATGAAATGGACATTTTGTAAATATTTACTCAACTACGGCAAAATTTATTTACGGATATAGAATTCCGAAACAACAGTTACACTTGACATTTTTTTGACCATGAAAATTGGCATCAGTTACCACACAAAGTACTTAGTCAACCGCTGGAAAATATTCAGAAGAAAAAAACATTCATGGTAGTCTTCTTATAATAGTTTAAATGCTTATTTGGCCACACTTATCATGTGAATATTTTCTGTCTCACAATTTAAAAGTCAACCCCAAGAGTCCATCAACAATCATTTTCCAATTTTATTTTTTTAAAGTAACTGGATAGCGGATGCACTCCAGTTAACACACTGTGCATTCAGGTGTATACATATACGATTTTACTCTCATACATTTTCAACAGAAAGGTCACAATGTATACCTACGTTCGCACTTTTTGTGAATGATGTAGACATCATGTAGCGTTTTATCAAGATGTTACAATTAGTGATATTTTGACTTGTAATTTTTGGGTTAATCTAAAATTTTTTACGTATATAATGTTCATTTTATAATATTTTAAACCAAACCCTAAGTTTTTTTCCCCCCGAGGCATTTTGGCCCAAAGGTTTAAGTTAGGGGCATTTTAAAATAGTTAAAACTCTTTTTAAATTTTTTCCGTTTTTTTTGCCCTTTTAAAGGTTTATTTCCCCTTTTTTTCAGCCAAAGTTTGTTTTTTAACAAAGGGGTTTTCCAAAGTGAAAAGGGGGCCAAAATTTTATAAAACAAAAGCTCTTTTTAAAAATGAAAGGGAAACCCTTTTTAAATAACTTCCCGGTTTTAAAATTTTTAAGGCAATTATAAACAAAAAAAAAAAGATAACAATAAAAATATTTACCTTGGGAAAGTGCTACATTTTTTTTAAGACCAAAACATTCTGGTTTTTCAAAGTTTTATGCACCCTTTTTAAAGAAAGGAAAAAACCTTTTTTAAGTCTTTTTAGTGGCTAAAAAGCTATTTTTTGCAGCAAAAACAAAAATTCTTTCCCAAAACTTAAAGGAATAGGAATGGAGGATTGATGTCTGTCTAATATAAATATTCATCTTTAAAAAAAGCGGAACCATCTGAAGTTCCTATTGACATCCCCTACATAGAGGAAAAATTCGTTGTTTTTAAGAACTATTTTTTACTTGAGAAATTTAAGTTCATGGGCGCCGCCATTTTGGGTGTTTCGGGGTAATTCTCGCGGAGGAAGAACACCCAACGAGAACTGGAGATTCGGGGAGTGTAATACCACTTCGGTATAGGTGTATCACGCTGGTAACAACTGAAATATACTTTGATAGGAAGAACTTATTACTTTTTAATTGCGTACATTTATTTATTTTAAAACATCAATAATGGAACTGAATTCTTTTTAATTAAATTAATTGAAGACGCCCCGGGACATTTTTAATTAGTTATTTCTCCGATATTCAAGCTTGCTGATGATCCCACCCACATGATTTTAAGCAATGACTGCTTAATTTTAAAAAGATAAACATAATTTAAATTTGGGGAAATGAGAAACTTCTTCAAATTGACGACATAGTCCTTTTTTTTGTACTTAATTTTTCGCTAGACAAGCTGTCCAAATAGGGTGACATCGCCGGTCATTGTATCTTTTTTTTTTCAGGTTTAAAATATCAACTAAATCCAATATAATAGTTCTACATACCAAATTCCTTTCCCGACAGAAACGGCATTTCTACTACCGGGTAAATTTAATCCAATAAAACAAAAAAATCATAAATCTACTTAATATTTAAAATGAAATTATTGGTAATTGAAAAAAATGTGTTGCTATTTTTATGACGTGCTGTAAAATTTACTACAGTATAATTTGACAAGTGTGGAACCTAATTCGCCTAAGGTCATTCAGTCACTGATGAAGCGTAAAAAAATAGATGTCTATTTCGGGTCATTAAGAAATAAATTTGGACAAGGGTGAAATTAACCAAAATAAAAGGAACATTGGTGCATTGATCAAAAAGGTCTGTCGGCACAGAGGCATACAAGGAGCAATAAAAATCGTCAAGTAACAAAGTGTTGAAAGGAGCATTTGGTGTAGGAACAATTAAAATGGACAATTGCGCAGTAATAGACATAAAGTAGGTATTGAACCAGCAATTGTGTGAATAAATTTATGCAAATTAGACTTTTTGAGCACCAATAAAAAATGATTTGTCTGCAGTTAATATTAGGCTTACGATTACGTTGCGCAGCATCATACGTTGACAGACATGTTACACAATTTACTTTTCCCAAAAGAGTTGAGATTTTTGAAATGTGTACATAATTATAACATATGTTTTCACACCTTTAAATTTGAAAAAGTCAGAATCAAACTGCAAAAATTTAATTCATATGTACTATTAAGAATCCACGTTTTAGTTAGGGTTTTTTTATTAATGGAAGTGGCTAGCGTACGGGCCGTATGGCTAGCGAAAAGTTTTTAGGCCCGTACGTGAGTAGACTAGCAGGACACGGGAGGGCTGTAATTGACTACGAAAGTACGGCAAACGTTTTTAAAAATTTTTATGGAAGTCGAAAATATAGATTTTATTTTTATGGACTTTAAAAGGAGGTTTTTTAACCCAAGGGAAACAGCATTAAATTGTCTTTTGGAAGTTGAATAAACTTTTTAGAATTTTAATCGGGCCTTGATGCGCTATAGTATATTCGATCTTTTGTCATCGCAAGATTGGTCGAGAAAAAAAAATAGCCTTTGCCTTTGCATTTAACCAATTTGAAATAGTTTACAAAATTTTAGATTAAAAATCCTTTTTTGTTTAAATTAAGTTTAATGTTTTCGACACCTTAATATGAAAAAAAAAAAACCAAACACTGAAATGATTGTTGTTAGGGGCTCTTGATAATTGCGACAATTAAGACGGTACTGGTATAAGAAGTTTGTCCATCAAAAGGAAAGTTTGCATGTTTCCCGTGAAAGGCAATCTTAAAAATTCTATTGTCAGGGTCCCTGGATAGGTTTTAAATCACGGGGGGGGAGGCTTAATTAATTGATTGACTGTGCTTTTATGTTCGATAAATTTATCCTACTTTTTGAAAATTATATAATTATTTTTGCCCATTTCACACCGTTTTTTTTTCATTCAAAGTTCTTTTTATTTTATTATTCCCTCCGATCATT